TACACACATCAGATGCTCAGTCACCATATTCTGCTTTTTACACCAACATGCAATCATTTAAATAAACCACAAAAGAACAAACAAACAGACTACGACAGCGCTGTTGTGCAATAACACTTGTGCAATTTGACTTAAGGTTATTATTATTGGCTCCCTTCTTAGTTAGATGAGTTTGACACAAATAAAACACTATTAGATAAACTGCATGCACATCATATTTAAAATAAGGTAGATAAGTAAATGCACACCATAGTGTAATGTCCCAGGCTGCTCCAACAATGCTACATGATAGATATATAAGACATAAACTATGGGTATATATTCATTCACTCCTCAGCTGCTTATAACCGGCTCATTGTGGGCATTGTCTCTTTTAACCAATCACATGTCACCACAATCTTCATCATCACCAGTGGCTGCTTTTCCCCCTTAAAATCTACAGTTTGATTTCAGGATCGGGGTCTAATCGCCAAAGACTATTAACCTTTATATCATTTGTCAATAAATGTTCTTTAAACCAAAAATAAAGTATCTCCTCTCCTGATTGTATAATGCTTTTAATGTTGTCTATTTCTGCAAGGCACTTTGAATTGCCTAATGTTGCATTATTCCACATATATATATATATATATGTATGTATATATATATGTATGTATATATATATGTATATATATATATGTATATATATATATATATGCGGCTCGCCTCGAAAGTAGACGAGAATAGCCGATTGCAGCCGGGGGAGGTCTCAAAAAGCTCGCCTGAAGCCGGACAGCTCGGAGTCGGCTTGACTCGGGGTGCAATGGCGGAAATTGCGTTGGCGTTCTTCGTTGGAGATGAAGTGGATGCAATAGAAATCCCACAATTATTATATCACTACAAATGAATGACTCAAGTGTCTGTTCATTTAAAAATAAATCAATACAAGGGGGGTTGAATCCTACATGTAAAAGACAGAACCACTTATTACTTTTCAAAACTACTTCCGTCAGTGGTCTTGACCAGTTTGCATTTATAAAGAATGCACAAATGTGTTTAATCGTTAATGTCAGATATGTACTAAGTAAATACATTTGTTCCTGCTCAAGATTAGATTAAACTGTATTGTTATTGCACAGATTACAGGTACTGAGACAACGGAATGCAGTTTAGCTTCTAACCAGGAGTGCAACAAGCAGCAAAGTGAAAAGTAATGTACACAATCTACAGAATAAAATATAGAATGAATTGAATGATGAATAAACAGCGAGGGGTATGAATACACTAGATATACACAGCAGCCTGTGAGCAGAACAGTATGAACAGTGTGTATGAATATGCTAAGATATATAAAGTATGAAAACGGTAAGCAGTGCAAGTATAGTATAAATATATAGATATTAATTTCATGATAATAAACATTGTGGAACAATGATGAAAAATGTGAATGGAAGTGGCGACGTAAAACTGACACAAAACAACAACAAACTTTTGAGGAGCCAATGGAGAGTTTCATCCCCAGCACGGGGTAAAACCCACCAATGAGCGCTCAGCTCGAGATACCAGCAAGTCGTTTCCCATCAAGCATTTCGCTTCTGCAGCCCGTGGAGAGAAACTGGGGGTGTTTCTCAATGTCGAGGACGCTTCCTTGGTAAGACATGTCCTCCGAGTCAGGTCCATCAGAGGCTAGGCAAGAATCCTTCCTGGCATTCGGAGAACGAAGAATGGAACAGGCGAGCAAGTGTGCAGGTGTGCGTCATATGAGAGGACCCGCCTTACATTTTCCACCAAAGATTTTGGAAATTGGTCCGTGCGCAAAGCATTGTGGGGATTTTAAGACCGCGGAGGATACACATGTGCAGCCTCGAAATTTCCCGCAATGAAGGACGCCGGCCTCGGTAGAATTCCAAGGATCCTGGACATTGGAACAGTCCTTCGGCGGGACTCGATGACGTAGCATCCTTGAAATAGTGGCTCTGGAGGAAAGCTGCTGACCAATTGTCAGGGACCAAGCAGTAAGGCAACAGGACAGGAGTGGTTTAAATAGACTGGGTTTTTTTATTTACCCAAAAGTCCACAGAAAACATCATAAATCAATAAGTTCTAATAACTAGGCCTATAAAAGAGGTCTACAGAAAATACCTCAAAGAAACATGGCATCAACTTAACAGGTGTTAGCTCAACAAACTGACCTGCTACAATGAAAAACCAAGGAACCCATATAGTGGCTTGGCCAAAACAAGTTTCTGGTAATCTGTAAATTACCAGCATGACATGAAGTATATTATAATAAATTGTTTTATAGTTACAATACTGATACTGTCATTTAAAATTATAGCATTAAAGTTTCTATTTTACAGTTGAAACACTATTACCGTAAACAAAAATACAGTACTTTTTAAATGGCGGTATTTTATTTTATAGTTCAAATACTATTACCTTAAAACAAAAATACAATGCTTGGAAATGACTGTGTTTTATTTTACAGCTATAACATTACTGCTGTTACAAAAAATAAAGTAATTACATATTACTGTTTAATTGGACAGTTTAAACACTATTACCGTAAACACAAATACAGTACTTGGAAGTTACTGTGTTTCATTTGACACTGTTACTGTCACTAAAAACTTGTAAATACTGTGATGACCTTTACAGTATTTAACTGGCAGCAATTGGCAAGTTAAATACTCTAATTAATTTTACAGTAAGTAACTTGTCAATTGCTGCCAGTTACATACTGTGAATTGTGAAACTGAACATCATGCAAAAAATGCTTTCAACAACAGACAAAGGAATGATGCAACTACAAATGACTTTGACGGTTTTTTGACTTGGAGAACAAGTTATCCACATAAAGGAGAGCAGTTGAACTCGAGAAATCATTTGTAAACTCTTTGATATACTCGGTAAAAGACAATCGAGTGTAACGTTGCGCAATGCAGACACTCCTCTGTTATTATCATAAACAAACCAAAGTCCTATGACTCATCTTGGTATTTGTATCACGGATCCAAGAAATGTGCCCTCGATCTGAGAGCTTTTCTAGGATTAGGATTTAAACCCTGTGACACGAAGAGTGTCTGTAAACCAAGAACAACACAATCTACTTTAATGTTGACCTTCTGGCAAGTGAATCAGAATTGAACGTTAATTATAGATGATATAATCTCCTAACAGCGACATTAGTATGTTAAATTCCAATTCTAAGTCTACAATTTCAATCATATTCAATGTAAATACTGCAATATTTTACCATATTTTTGTATAGTTTCTTCAAATAGTTTTCTATCTGTGTTTTGAATTCTTGTTTTATTTTTATGTTTGCACCACAGCACCAAGTCAAATTCCTCGTACGTGTTAACCCTTTTTCTGATTCTGATTAAAAGCTGTTCTTAATATCTGGAACAAACTCCCAGAAACCTGCCGGTCCGCTGCAACTCTGACTACTTTTAAATCCAGGCTGAAGACTTTTCTTTTTGCCGCTGCTTTTAATTGAAACTGAGCGGTTGTGTTTCGTTTTTGGTTAATGAACATTTGGGGCTAGTAACCCCAGGGTGTCTGGGGACTTTGTCCTGGCTGGTTTCCTCTGTGTATCCTGCTCGGGACGTATGTGCCATACAAGCGTACACAGCTCATATTCGGAGAAACCTTAAAGAAAGGCATCAGTAAAGTGGAACTTCTGAGTGAACTATTCACATCTTAAACTGCACTGTAACTTTTTATTCATGTACTTTTTATTCATGTACAAAAAGTACATGAATTCATGTATTTTTTATTCATGTATTTTTTATTCATGTACTTTTTATTCATGTATTTTTTATTCATGTATTTTTTATTCATGTACTTTTTATTCTGATTATTAAAAATCAGCATATCCGGTCATAGTCCGGTAATTACCTGCTAACGGAAACTCTGCTACACAATTCTTATTATTATTATTGAAACATGACCGGTAAGTTTAGAATTTGTCCGGTAAAATAAATTATTTCCGGACACTTGACCGGCAAGAAAAAACCCTGTTTCATATATATTTGTATTTCTGTATTCGGGATTGTGGGAAACGGTATTTCGATCTCTCTGTCTGTACACACACACTGAAAGATTGACTATAAAGTTGACTTTGACTACAGGTTATTGATCGCTCTTGAGATGCAGTGTTTTCATAAAAGAAGAGTAGGGCTGTCAAGTTAACGTGTTAATAGCGCGTTAATGCACTAATTATTTGAACGTGCGATTAACGCATGTGTATTTGTCCTCGGCCCGCCCCGTAGTTTCAGAGCCCAAAGGCTTGACGTTGTTGTTGTTGTTGTTGTTGTTGTTGTTGTTGTTAGTTGGATGGTGGGAGATTCTAGCGAGAGATATGGATCCAAGAAAAGGTGTTTTAAACAGCAAGCCAAGCACCCAGCTGATGCCGACAGCCCCGCACCTGCTGCTCGCTTGCGGCAGACCACGCTTGAACGTTTGCCGGGGAGACGCCTGGACAACAACAGATAGCTAAATGGGTGGCTACAGCTTAACATCGTGGAGGACGAGAGGCTGCGTTAGATCATTCGGAACGCATCCAACGTGTCGACTGTACATCACAGCGCATTATTTTGACCCACAGTGGGAACTTCAGTCTCATGCTTTGACTGAAGATGAAGACAGAGGATCGGCATGTCGCCGACAACTGTAAACAGGCTTATCTGTTTGAGCAACTGGCTCAGTGCAGAGAAGTACACAGGGTTGGGAGAGAGTGTAAGAGAGAGAGAGAGAGAGAGAGAGAGAGAGAGAGAGGTTCCAGGTTGTTGTGTTACAAATATTCAGGAGAATATTTGTCATTGTTCCAATGATAATAAACATTTGTATAAAGCATATTTGTCCACTCATATGTTGATAAGAATATTAAAAACTTGAAAAATATTCCTCTAAGGTACATTTAGAACAGATAAAAAATGTGCGATTAATTTGCGATTAATCGCGATTAACTATTTTAATTGACTGACAGCCCTAAAGAATAGATATCCACGTTGACCCCAAGATGTGTAAATTCATTTTTTATTGATACTAGGTTTCTGTCCATTCTTCCAAATATGGATTTGGATTAGAAGTGATCATGCAGATGACGACACATTTTCCATCTGCAAAATTGTTCTGTCTTCATCTGAAGTGTAAGATATGCAGAGCGTTGACTCTTCAATGTTACTGCGTCCCAATCAGGTTTCTCCTCCAGAATGATGCTTCGTTTCTTCCAGCTTTAAATGAAATGGTGCACATAAACTGAAGAATAGATTGGAGCCCTGCCAGGAACGTCTCTGCGTTTTCCACCTCGAGGCTTTCACACTTAGGACAGTCTCTCTCTGGAATCTGTGAAGAGAAAGAAAGACACAGAGATATCGGTCAAAGTGTTTAGGGTGACACAAACACGACCTAAATACCGGTAAGAGCAACGTTTTTTTATAACAATTGTTATTCATGTTCTGCCTCCTGCATGTGTTGGAGCTGATGTTCATTGCAGATGATACAGTAATGTATGTACAGTAAGAGACAGAAAAAGAAAAGGAAAAAAGCTGATCTGTAACCCATAGTCATTTAGCTAAATCTGAAGTGGCTTATGAACTCTTTACTCCTTTATTAGTCATTTGTTTTTCTATTAAGCGAGACGTTTTCCAACATGAAATGGATTGGTGTCTTCATCGACTCAACCCTCGACTTCAAGCTGCTAAAATGTATTTTCATGAAATGATTCTCATACATACTGTTTGACAACTTGGTCTTTTTCCATTGAGATGCATTCATATAAGCTGTACAACAAACCCTAACTATAAAGATACCATTACTGTGATATACTTAGCTCATTTGGGATTATTTGCTAAAAATATCTTATTACGTTTCACAGTATTGTTGTCTCAAGGATCACAGTTTGAAATTTGCCCACATTTGAAGTCATGCTCAATACAAAGATGCATCTTTTAAATAAGTCAATGCTTTGTTTAGCTGTCGATAGAATAGGATAACAGATGGAGAAAAGGCAGCTCCTCCTGATCCTCAAACTCCATTGTATTAGTTCTCAGTGTTTACATGGATGTGCTACTAATCTTCTTATTGCCTTGCTAAGCTCTTTACCAGTTATAACACGCAGCTTTTCCACACACCGGCACTTGGCAGGTGAGTGTGTGTAGCAATAAATACCTGAGTGACAATTATCTGAGCCTCCAGGGGGAAAAGACTCACTTTTAATTTCTGATTTAAACAAACAAATCATTGTTTTCATTTCTGCTCATCCGTGTCTCTGTTTGAGCTTGCAATAAATTAGGTGGGCGGGGGTTATGATCATCATTTTACATTTTTCCCACAACAGACATCAGGATGCCATATTTTTGAGTTGTCAAACCTCCACCATACCCCGGGCAAAGTGTACTGAGATTTTCAAAACTATATACCTGCCTAGACATCGCCTCTTTCTGTGAGCGTAGCTAATACTGTGTCTACATTGTTGATTTAATACATGCGTACTGTTGAGATCTCCATATCAGGTTGAATAATTAAAATGAAAGTTAGTTATAATCGAATATAATCAATTATATTCGATTATAACCCACAATGAAAAGGCTGCATATTTTATGATTTTCTATATTTACAGTATAAACAAAACACAAGTGGTTTGTTAAGTTGAGTGTAAGGCCTGTAATGGTTTATGGGTGTCACTGATAAGAAGGCAGTTTCTTCCCTCTCCCCTCACAGCAGTACACAGGGAGGGGGGCTCCTGACTTAAGGAGAAATACATTGAGGCCCCAAAAAGGTGGTTATGCCATAGCCGAGAATAATATTTTGCAAGTCCTGCAGAGTAGGGGTCATGTCCTTTTTACACAAACATGGGAAGGTGTGTCTTATGCCAGAGCCATAGAATATGTCTGGTCATGTCCAGTTCTTTACATCAGAGGCCATGCCCAGTTTCCACAAATATGGGTATGGAGGAGGTGTCTTTAGGTTTTTCTATCCTGTTTTCGAGCATAAAGACACTGGCAGATGGGGAGGAATTGGCTTTTTTGGAGAGAGAGAGAGAAAGCAGGGGGGGGGGATCCCCTGGTATGCTCTCTCTCTGTAACGCTCTCTCCCTGGAGAGCTGGTTTTTGCTCTCGGTAAGGTTCTCTCAAACTTGGTAACTATTGCGTAAATCTCTGTGTATTGAATGCTGAGGGAATGGTTTAAATGAGAGTTGTGAGTTGGGATCTTAAACCTACCATTCTTTAAATGGGCTGGGATCTTATACCTACCATTCTTTAAATGGGCTGGGATCTTATACCTACCATTCTTTAAATGGGCTGGGATCTTATACCTACCATTCTTTAAATGGGCTGGGATCTTAAACCTACCATTCTTTAAATGGGCTGGGATCTTAAACCTACCATTCTTTAAATGGGCTGGGATCTTATACCTACCATTCTTTAAATGGGCTGGGATCTTATACCTACCATTCTTTAAATGGGCTGGGATCTTAAACCTACCATTCTTTAAATGGGCTGGGATCTTAAACCTACCATTCTTTAAATGGGCTGGGATCTTATACCTACCATTCTTTAAATGGGCTGGGATCTTATACCTACCATTCTTTAAATGGGCTGGGATCTTATACCTACCATTCTTTAAATGGGCTGGGATCTTATACCTACCATTCTTTAAATGGGCTGGGATCTTATACCTACCATTCTTTAAATGGGTTGGGATCATATACCTACCATTCTTGAGATGTGTGGGAATTAACTATGAATTAAGGTTTTAGATTAGAAAATAACCCCAGCATGATATGTTTAGTATGATGATAATGTTGTAACGAGAGAAGGTAAAAACCCTGAATTAGTTTGGACCTATTTTTCTTCAAATAAACTGATCCCACCTTTTGGATTGGGACAACTTAAAAGACATCTGCGCTCTCCTCTCCTGCTTGAAAGGTAAGATCGCACACTGCCACACTCACACTTAGGTAGGGCCACACCTCATTTACTGATATCAAAGTCCTTCGGGATTGCTTAAACAGATTTAGGGGGTTCTCTGAATTGAAACAGCAGTTAATTGAACCTGGTTCTTCGGGGAGTTAATAGAGGTGAGATCTTGCTGATCGTTGGTGGATCTGAGCCAAGCAGTAAACTTACATAGACTCAATAACTTCGGTTAGGTCAATTAGGAGGTCTGAGTAATTTAAGTTCGGAATAAATTATCGGATGACTCCCGACTCTTACAGTACTCTGTTCACACCTGGTTGCATTCTCTCCAAACACAAATCTTTATCTGTGCTTCCAGGGAAAAAAGCCTCATGATGAGACTCATTTCTTTTCATTTCTGCTCATCATATGTGGGCAGGGGTCATGACTTTATTCCTACGACAGGGGTCAGGATGGCACATTTTTGGAGTTGTCAAACCTCCACCCTACACCGGACAAAGAGTACTGAGATTTTCAAACTATACCTGCCTAGACAATGCCTCTTTCTGTGAGCGTAACTTACACTGTGTCTAATATTTTGAATACATCCCTTCGTACACTGTTAACACCTGGTTGCGTTCTCTCCAAACACAAATCTATATCCAGGTAAAAAAGCCTCATGGTGAGCCAAGCTTCTGCTCATCAATGCCTTTGTTTGGGCTTGCTTAGGCTGCACTAAAACAGGCAGGCAGGGGTCATGACTTTATTCCTACAGCAGGTATCAGGATGGCACAGTTTTGTTGTAATACTCCACCATACACCGGACAAAATGTACTGCGGTTTTCTAAAATAGTTATCTCGAAACACGCCTTCTGTGCTATCACCAGAACTGACCTTTAGCGCCATTGGCTTGCTAGTTAGCAGCGTTATTGTTCACGGTACCAAATCATTATACTCTGCTGAATGAACCCAGTAGAGTTAAAGGTAGCATCTTTACCACACCACTGTAGAGGTTAGTGTGTTAAATAATAATTAAAAAAACCTCACATGTATAACTTTTAGTTCTATAGTGCTGTAAAGCGATCGCGGCTGTTCCCGCCACTTCCGTTTCGTAGCAAATATGCTTAGAATTGGGGCTGGCAAGTGTCCGGGACTCTTAATTTTGGACCGTTTATGTTTGCACCATCTGGTACTTATTGTGCATTTTGCCATACTCGGCACTGGAGAGCACTTATGTACTCAAAACAGCAAATGTAAGACACAAATTGAGACACAGGGCTAACGTTTGCTAAGCTTGTTTCTCTGATGACTTAAGATCCAAATGTTGAGAATGTTTTTGCTGGGAAAGTAAAAGCCGCAAAGGTCTCTTAACATCCCCAAAAACTACAAACATTGATTAAAAGCAATAAAGAAACTGAATGAAATGGTTTCATGTTAAAAATCAGTGTTTCCCTAGGGAACAAAATGGCTTACTTTTTACAACCAAATTATCAACAGATGTCTTTGTGTCTCCAAAACAAATGGACCACATGAATAAAACTGGAGTAAAACTGGTGTAAAACTGGTGTAAAACTGGAGTAAAACTGGTGTAAAACTGGTGTAAAACTGGAGTAAAACTGGTGTAAAACTGGAGTAAAACTGGTATAAAACTGGTGTAAAATTGGGGTAAAACTGGTGTAAAGCTGGTGTAAAACTGATATAAAACTGGTGTAAAACTGATATAAAACTGGTGTAAAATTGGGGTAAAACTGGTATGAAACTGATATAAAACTGGTGTAAAGCTGGTGTAAAACTGATATAAAATTGGTGTAAAACTGGTGTAAAACTGGTATGAAACTGGTATAAAATTGGGGTAAAACTGGTATGAAACTGGTGTAAAACTGATATAAAACTGGTGTAAAGCTGGTGTAAAACTGGTGTAAAGCTGGTGTAAAGCTGGTGTAAAACTGGTGTAAAACTGGTATGAAACTGGTGTAAAACTGATATAAAACTGGTGTAAAGCTGGTGTAAAACTGGTGTAAAACTGATATAAAACTGGTGTAAAATTGGGGTAAAACTGGTGTAAAAAGTAATATTTTGTGTTTTTCCCTGCACGCCGTTGGGCGGCTGCTAACGTTAGCTCATCTCGTTTCTCTGATCATTTGAGATCCAGACGTCCCGTGACTAAAATCCTTCAATAAACAGTTTCAATGTGTAATTAAGACTGTAGTGATGTCTCCTCTCTTTCTCCCTACTTACCATTTCACCAAATGAATCAAGAATGCTGAACATCGCTGTTTTGTGTTTGCTGATGTTGGAGAGATCGGCTGCTTCCCACTCCAAGAACAGGACGTTAATTTCGTTAATCAAACAGTTCATGGTCGACTGGGAGCAATTCTGCGGGACAGAGATAGAAACCAGTAAGATACCAACATGCTCTCTTTTTCTTCCAACAATATTTGTATTGAAGTTTTCAAATATAACGAACATTACACATACATAAAACGGTCAGTCTAGGTGGCAGATACAGTGTACAATCAAATGAATAGGCATGCAAATAAACACAGGTCAGTATACAGATGATACATGGATAACAAAGTACAGAAATCTGTAGAGACAATACATACTGATATACACCTGAACATCAGCAGGAGAGGACTCTTTAAAGTAGAGACACTACATACTGATATACACCTGGACATCAGCAGGAGAGGACTCTTTAAAGTAGAGACACTACATACTGATATACACCTGAACATCAGCAGGAGAGGACTCTTTAAAGTAGAGACACTACATACTGATATACACCTGAACATCAGCAGGAGAGGACTCTTTAAAGTAGAGACACTACATACTGATATACACCTGAACATCAGCAGGAGAGGACTCTTTAAAGTAGAGACACTACATACTGATATACACCTGAACATCAGCAGGAGAGGACTCTTTAAAGTAGAGACACTACATACTGATATACACCTGAACATCAGCAGGAGAGGACTCTTTAAAGTAGAGACACTACATACTGATATACACCTGAACATCAGCAGGAGAGGACTCTTTAAAGTAGAGACACTACATACTGATATACACCTGGACATCAGCAGGAGAGGACTCTTTAAAGTAGAGACACTATATACTGATATACACCTGAACATCAGCAGGAGAGGACTCTTTAAAGTAGAGACACTACATACTGATATACACCTGAACATTAGCAGGAGAGGACTCTTTAAAGTAGAGACACCACATACTGATATACACCTGAACATCAGCAGGAGAGGACTCTTTAAAGTAGAGACACTACATACTGATATACACCTGAACATCAGCAGGAGAGGACTCTTTAAAGTAGAGACACTACATACTGATATAAACCTGAACATCAGCAGGAGAAAACTCTTTAAAGTAGAGACACTAAATACTGATATACACCTGAACATCAGCAGGAGAGGACTCTTTAAAGTAGAGACACTACATACTGATATACACCTGAACATCAGCAGGAGAGGACTCTTTAAAGTAGAGACACTACATACTGATATACACCTGAACATCAGCAGGAGAGGACTCTTTAAAGTAGAGACACTACATACTGATATACACCTGAACATCAGCAGGAGAGGACTCTTTAAAGTAGAGACACTACATACTGATATACACCTGAACATCAGCAGGAGAGGACTCTTTAAAGTAGAGACACTACATACTGATATACACCTGAACATCAGCAGGAGAGGACTCTTTAAAGTAGAGACACTACATACTGATATACACCTGAACATCAGCAGGAGAGGACTCTTTAAAGTAGAGACACTACATACTGATATACACCTGAACATCAGCAGGAGAGGACTCTTTAAAGTAGAGACACTACATACTGATATACACCTGAACATCAGCAGGAGAGGACTCTTTAAAGTAGAGACACTAAATACTGATATACACCTGAACATCAGCAGGAGAAAACTCTTTAAAGTAGAGATACTAAATACTGATATACACCTGAACATCAGCAGGAGAGGACTCTTTAAAGTAGAGACACTACATACTGATATACACCTGAACATCAGCAGGAGAGGACTCTTTAAAGTAGAGACACTACATACTGATATACACCTGAATATCAGCAGGAGAGGACTCTTTAAAGTAGAGACACTACATACTGATATACACCTGAACATCAGCAGGAGAGGACTCTTTAAAATAGTGACACTACATACTGATATACACCTGAACATCAGCAGGAGAGGACTCTTTAAAGTAGAGACACTACATACTGATATACACCTGAACATCAGCAGGAGAGGACTCTTTAAAGTAGTGACAGTGAGTAATGTTCCTGCCATGAATTAGATAATGTGTGGATTATTTTTAGAGAATCTTAATTCCTGTGTTCCAGTAATAACTTTGGACCAAATCTCTGAAATCTCTGATGATGCAGTCTCTCATTTATTGTATAAAACCATGCTTTTGTTTATATAAGTAGTAAACAGACTTCACAGATGTAGAACTGGTGGAGGATCAGAAGTTATTATGCTACTACTTCCTGTTGACAGCTCAATACATGTGGACCATCTGGAGTTAAAGAGTATGAGGCACAGCAATACAAGTGAACTCTGGCTACCTTTTTGTGAATTACATAACGATGAATTTGCTTAAACAAACATTTACATAAAGCCAAATGTATTTTAGGCAAGGCAAGTTTATTTATATAGCACCTTTCAACACAAGGCATTGTGATTTTAAGTTTATTAAAGGGGACCTATCATGCAAAATGCACTTTTGTACGTCTTTTCTACATGAACATGTGTCCCCGGTGTTCCAGGGAACTCACCAAGTGTCAGAAAACACAACCCTCTCTATTTTCCTCCATACCCAAATCTCTAAAAAAGGGGCTGCAACGGATCTGATAAAAACTGATCCAGATTTGAACACTGTCCTGACGTCAGGACGGTGGCGCTACGGCTATTGGGCCAACTCCATCAATCAGGAGGAGACAACCACGGCCATTGCCGTTCGAAAGCGCTGGAGACGCTGTAGTACATATGCCAGGCCTGTAAGTGGCGCTGTAGTCTGCCACAAAAGCAGCGAAGAAGACTTCCCGCCCATAGTTACCATGGTTACCCTTCTGTTTATTCTCCGCTGTGGCTTTCTTTCTCCCTCCCCGAGGCAAGCGTTTGCTCCCGCTGCTTTAATTCAATGCAATCCCTCCCCGTCGAGGCAAGCACTGTAACTCTCTCCGGTTAGTCCACCAGCAGATGACAAACACCCACCTCTCCGCCTCTTCCAAGGAACGAGGGGACCGTGCGGCAGAGTTTCAGTTTCAGTTTCTTTCGCCGGTCAAGATGTCCGTTAAAGTTTAAATCTTCCGGACAAAATTAGAAAAGTGCCGGTCAAAGTTCTTCTTTGTTATTTATTGAGCTTTAAAACAAATGAATAACGACTCTATATAATAAAACACGGAGGACGGAGATCTCTTTTTCTCCCCCTCTTGTGACAGCCCAGCAGCTGATCAGAGCACGTCTCCCCTCTCCTGCAGGGGGGCGTGGTCAGCAGAATCAGACCCGTAGACAGCAAACAGCACATAGAGCGAAATGAGGCATGGCTAAAATGCATGATCTGTTTGGTATTTTGAAAACAGAAACGTATAAATATACCTTATATAGGTATGGCCCTACAATATATCATTTAAATATAGCATGATAGGTCCACTTTAAGTTTATATTAGAAAGATTTGTTGATGTAATTTAAGCAGCCGAGGACTTTTGTGAAAGCATCAGATCTCAAATGATAATAACAAGTATTTCAGGTGTCAGAGTGAAGAAGAAGAAGAAGAAGAAGAAGAAGAAGAAGAAGAAGAAGAAGAAGAAGAAGAAGAAGAAGAAGAAGAAGAAGAAGAAGAAGAAGAAGAAGAAGAAGAAGAAGAAGAAGAAGAAGAAGAAGAAGAAGAAGAAGAAGAAGAAGAAGAAGAAGAAGTAGTTCATACCTTGTATTGATCAACGGTGGGTGTGTACAGTTCGCACTCCAACGATTTCTAAGAAAAAGATAAAATGACGTGGTGAATACGAGCTATTACACGTTTGTATAGTAACATGCATGCCAGATTTCTGTCCTGGCAACGACATGATATTGTGTGATTTGTAACGTTTGTTATTTCCCTCACAACAAGTTGTTTGTCTTAACGATCATTTGATAGAACGGGTTTTTCTCCTTCTACAGTAAAGTGAGTTATACTCTATATAAGTACTTCAAGTAAAAGTATCTCTTGAGCAGTAAAATGTGGTTAAAGTACTTCAAGTTAAAGTATCTATAGTACAATAACATGTGGTTAAAGTACTTAAAGTAAAAGTATTGATGGCGCAGTAAAATGTTATATATCTATGTTTCTGGCTAGTATAATCTGAAGTAATTCCTCATATTCTGTGAGAACATATTTTTGTTTTATACAATTTCCATAGATTTTCCACCTAAAATTCCAATGTTTCTGACACATCTTTGGGAAAGTTCTTCAAATATTTTCAGGTATTTTTCAGACTTTTTCCACATATTTTTCTGAATTGACTCTGCATTTTACTCCTGTGTCACGATGTGGTCCTGTTCTCTGCTTTATATACTGTAGACCTGCAGATCTGTTCGTCAGTGTGATGAAGCAGCTGATGCGCTGTGGACTGAGTTGTAAAAGCTGTTATCTACTTTATTTTTGTATTACTTTTACTATCTGTATTATGTTGCATTGTTGGAGAAGCCTGTGACCTAAGATTTTCAACGACATAATTACTCTGTAGCTATGTTAGTTTGACAATAAAGAACCTTGAACCTTGAACCTTGAACCTTGTAACAAGTGACATGTAATGTGTGTAAAACAGAACTTCTGTGAACTCTTCATGTGAAATCTGAGATGAGATGCATTAGACATCTGAACTTTCAACTGAACTAAAACTTGAGAGTCAAATTAAATCGGTAGAAAAACAAGCTTTTATCTTCTTAGGCAGCTAGCCAAAATAAAACCTTTTCTCTCCAGACAGCAGTTTAGACAGTAATCCACTCGTCACCACTCGGCTGCTTACTGTAACTCTCTCTACATGGGGGTCAGTGGGTCCTCCCTCGCTCATCTGCAGCTGGTGCAAAATGCCGCAGCAAGGCTTTTAACTGGCACACGGAAATATGACCACATTTCCCCCATTTTGGCTTCGCTCCATTGGCTGCCAATACATTTTAGGATTCATTTCAAAATCATTTGATTTACTTTAAATCCCTAAATGGCATGACCCCCCCATATCTTTCTGAGCTGCTACACCCTTACACGCCCAACCGCCCTCTCAGGTCAGCGGATCAACTGCTCCTGAACGTGCCCAGAACCAAGTCAAAACTCAGAGGGGGCCGTTGCTTCTCTGTATCAGACAGGCCTCCACACTGTGGAACGATCTGCCCCTGCACATCAGACAGGCCTCCACACTGTGGAACCATCTGCCCCTGCACATCAGACAGGCCTCCACACTGTGGAACCATCTGCCCCTGCACATCAGACAGGCCTTCACACTGTGGAACCATCTGCCCCTGCACATCAGACAGGCCTCCACACTGTGGAACCATCTGCCCCTGCACATCAGACAGGCCTCCACACTGTGGAACCACCTGCCCCTGCACATCAGACAGGCCTCCACACTGTGGAACCATCTGCCCCTGCACATCAGACAGGCCTCCACACTGTGGAACCATCTGCCCCTGCACATCAGACAGGCCTCCACACTGTGGAACCATCTGCCCCTGCACATCAGACAGGTCCCACACTGTGGAACCATCTGCCCCTGCACATCAGACAGGCCTCCACACTGTGGAACCATCTGCCCCTGCACATCAGACAGGTCCCACACTGTGGAACCATCTGCCCCTGCACATCAGACAGGCCTCCACACTGTGGAACCATCTGCCCCTGCACATCAGACAGGCCTCCACACTGTGGAACCATCTGCCCCTGCACATCAGACAGGCCTCCACACTGTGGAACCATCTGCCCCTGCACATCAGACAGGCCTCCACACTGTGGAACCATCTGCCCCTGCACATCAGACAGGCCTCCACACTGTGGAACCATCTGCCCCTGCACATCAGACAGGCCTCCACACTGTGGAACCATCTGCCCCTGCACATCAGACAGGCCTCCACACTGTGGAACCATCTGCCCCTGCACATCAGACAGGTCCCACACTGTGGAACCATCTGCCCCTGCACATCAGACAGGTCCCACACTGTGGAACCATCTGCCCCTGCACATCAGACAGGCCTCCACACTGTGGAACCATCTGCCCCTGCACATCAGACAGGCCTCCACACTGTGGAACCATCTGTACTTGTTTTATGGTGTGTGAGCTGTGCTGTGTTATTATATTTTGTTAGTATGTTTTGTTCTTGTGTATTTGCCTGTACAGCACTTTGGTCAGGAGGTTTATAGTGCTCTATAAATAAAGCTGTATTGTATCTCGTTAGATTCATTTAAAGCCAGACACTCTACAGATAAACATGTTTTATTTCATGCACGGGTTAATTTGGAGGCTATTTCACTTCCATAAGAGACTAAGGGAAAGAAAACATGGACCAGAGAACAAGACCACATCGTGAAGCAGGAGTGAAATGCTTTTAACCCATCCTAGTACCAGGAGTCTACTAGGAGCAGTGGGCAGCTATTGTACAGCGCAATGGGAGTGGGGGGTGGGGGGTGGGGGGGGTTGTCTGGTGCCTTGCTCAAGGGCACCACGGCAGGGCAGGAGGTGAACTTGGACCTTTCCAAGTAGCAGTCCACACTCCATACTTTAGGTCTGTTTGGGGACTTGAACCGGCGACCCTACGGCTCCCAGTCCAAGCCCCTACTGACTGAGCCACTGCCGGACTTTCCAAATATTGGAATTATGTGGAAAATCTATAGAAATTGTATAAAACAAAGATATGTTAAATCTCACAGAATATAATCACTTACTTCAGATTATACTAGCCAGAAACATAGATATAAAACATTTTACTGCGCCATCAATACTTTTACTTTTAGTACTTAAGTTACATTTTACTGTACAAGTGATACTTTAAGTACTTTAACTACATTTTACTGTACAAGAGATACTAAGTACTTCAACTACATTTTACTGTACAAGAGATACTAAGTACTTCAACTACATTTTACTGGACAAGAGATACTAAGTACTTCAACTACATTTTACTGTACAAGAGATACTAAGTACTTTAACTACATTTGACTGTACAAGAGATACTTTAAGTATACTTTAACTACATTTGACTGTACAAGTGATACTTTAAGTACTTTAACTACATTTGACTGTACAAGAGATACTTTAAGTATACTTTAACTACATTTGACTGTACAAGAGATACTTTAAGTACTTTAACTACATTTGACTGTACAAGAGATACTTTAAGTACTTTAACTACATTTGACTGTACAAGAGATACTTTAAGTACTTTAACTACATTTGACTGTACAAGAGATACTTTAAGTACTTTAACTACATTTGACTGTACAAGAGATACTTTAAGTACTTTAACTACATTTTACTGTACAAGTGATACTTTAAGTACTTTAACCACATAATGCCTACTTTCCATATTTAAACATTGTTATTTATTTTCATAGGTTGTCATTATGCTTTGCTTATTATTTTCATTTTAAAACATATTTTTCTAAATATTCCTGTGTTTTCTCTTGTCTTGAATCCTCCAGCTTGTTCTTGATCCATGTCATCTCTACGTTCGGTTCAGATAGATCAAACCAAACGGGATCTCTTTTACGTCATCAAACCATTCTTATTTTTTTAATACGTTCTTCTTTTATATATTGATCACAGTTGCTTTTAAGACTTAAACTACATGTTCCTGAAACTCGAATGATTTGACCTCAGAAACATTTTCCATGCATGACTTTAGTTGTCTAGTATTTTCACTTTGTGGCATTAGTACTTTTACTTGAATAAAGTCTACGAATACTACCAATGGCATGTCTTAATATTACTCGTAATACTTTTCTTATTTCCTTGCAGAGTGACCGATGGTTCCTCTGTGTCTCTGCATCACTTGTATCTCCACATGCCTCAGTGGAAGGAGCTTTATTTAAACAACTATTCTGTTTCACATCTCGCTGATACTTCCTTTTTATATTTAGCTCATTTTGATCAGAATCTAGACAGAAATATAACATAAATACAAATAATATGAAATAAAAAACGTAAGATATAACATTTAAATGTAATATTTCATTCTGACATTTATATTTAATGTTTAGACGTAACATGTACACTTTGATTTGATTTTGAGGATTTCAGATACAATCTAATATTTTGATTATGATTTTATATTTAAATGTAATACTTAGATTCATTTGAGTTTTTAGAACAATTTAGGGAAAAACACATGTTGTCGCTCGGAGCCTGTATCTTTTTTATTTAGGTAACTAAACTTAATTTGAACATGAGACACAACACGTTTCGACGGGAGATGATTAGGGCCACTTGTTTAGAAATCTCAGAATTCAGAGATTTAAATCAGAATTCAGAGAATTTCTTTTTTTACTTTAATCCTTTAATTTAGACATTTATCTCAGAACAAAATGAACCCCACTTCTGGTCATATCCTTAATGCAGGATCAGATACCAAACTCTGATTGATATATTGATATATTGATAAAGACGGAGAAGGAGTCTCTCACCACTTCTCCGGCTGCTTTGATGTCACATTCTTTTTTATTTGGACTAAGCATTAGATGTAATACTAACATCTAATACTTAGTCATAGATTTAACATTTATTATAATTACATGTATTTATTTTTTGGTAAAATAAAGGATTCATTCTTTAATTCAAATCTGACATTTTTTGTCAGAATTTTGCGAAAAAACACAACTCTGACTTTTTTCTCAGGACTACAAAAAAAAACACTTATTGTCAAATAATTTTTTTTTTAAATCACACGTGGCCCTAATCGTATTCCGTACATTTCAACCTGAGATTCAATTTCTGTTTAAACAATGTAGAAAGGATTTTCCAAAACCACTAAGACTACAACACATGTATCCTTTCAGATAGTACTCTGTTTCTTCATGCACACTTTATTGATTTTTAAATGTGTTTTATGTCTTGTATGTTGCATTGTTGGCGGAGCCTGGGACTTTTGACCCTCCTATCTTCACTGTAGCTACTGTGCATAAAGCCATGAAACTCTGATGTATGTAATATAAGACAGATATAGAGTCTCTCACCAGTTCTTTGGCTTTCATTAGGAGTTTCCCGACATTGGTTTGGAGGTCTATAGAGCAGTTCCTGGCCGGCGCGGCGGTCAGACAGACGAGACACAGAGACACACTCACGAGAAATAACGCCCCCCTCAGCATGGCACGGGCATCACATCGGTCTTCAACATCATCTTCATCATCTTCTTCCTGGTCCTCACACTGCGCGCTCACAGAGACACTCAGCCTCCATGTTTCCTCAGGAGTCGCCTTCAAATCCTGAAAACTGGAGATTTCTGTAAGTTCCACGGAGCAGAGAAGCTCTTCCTGTAATCCTGCTCGAGTTTGAATCCCAGACCATCTGAGAAAATAGTAAAAAAAGTCTCTAAAAATTCCTTAAACATTGGTTTGAATCCCATTCAATCCAAGGGAAGCTTTTGCAGTAAATGTGTTTGAATCCTAGACAGTCTGAGGGGAAGCTTTCTCAGTACAGATTTAAAGTCTTGTCACAAAAACAGTCACAAAAAATATTAAAAAATGGTTTTGAGTCTCAGACAATCCAAAGGAAGCTTTTACAATAAATGCTTAACGTTTCTGTGCAAACAAATCCTTCAAAGTGAGTTTGAATCCAGGCAGTCTGAGGGGAAATCTCTCTCTTAAAGTCTTGTTCCAAAAAAAAAGTCATCCAAAAACTCTTTCAAAGAAGGGTTTTAGAAAGTCTAAATGAAGGAGCTGTTCACATCATGTTTACAACTCGACTCCCTCAGAAAATCCTCCAGTCGAGTGGTCCGCAGATGTGTGTAAAGTGACTCCAGAGAGACATCAGAGCTCCGGCTGCGCAGCTGTGTTTCGATCATGTGTCTCTACAGAAATGCACCAATGCTCCAGGAAAGAAAAGACAAGAAGAGCGTTTCCGAACACCAGCGGCTGACTTGTACCGAGCTTCGTCTCCGTCTCCACCTTCCTCTTTCTCACCCCTCCTCTTTTGGTTTTTCTGATAAGATCTCAACACCCTCTTTGCTCAGACTCTCCGCCTTCTTCTTCTTCTTCTTCTTCTTCTTCTTCTTCTTCTTCTTCTTCTTCTTCTTCTTCTTCTTCTTCTTCTTCTTCTTCTTCTTCTTCTTCTTCTTCTTCTTCTTCTTCTTCTATCTTCTTCTTCTTCTTCTTCTTCTTCTTCTTCTTCTTCAGCGTCTGATCGTCGTCATTAGGCTGCAGGAACAGAGATCTGAAGGAATCAGCAGAAAGAAGGAGACTGAGGAATGTAAATCCACGAACAGACACTTTCACTGATTACTGAAGTGTTTAGCTTCAGGGCTGGCTAACTCATTCACGTTATGGACCACATGGAGTCACACATGCTCAAACTCATTCACGTTATGGACCACATGGAGTCACACATGCTCAAACTCATTGACTGTATGGAGCACATAGTGAAATGTGATCATACTATTGCACAATAACCTATATATAGAATGTTGCCCTTCCTTTTAGTTCAAGTAAGGACATACATGCATTCAATGGACCCTGCTGTAACAAACTACATTCTGCACACATTCACGGCCCACAATTCTTATCTTATAATATTTACTCTGATTTATAACAAGCAGAAGAAATATCCATCCACTGTTTGCATTGAATTATTTGTGCTTTACTGAAAACAATATACAGATCCAGGTGCACCCTGAGTGTGACTTCATGCAGCTGAAGGAAGTGTGAAAGTGATTTATAGATCAGGGTAGATTTCATCTGTATCTGCATCTCAGAATATTTGACCATCGGACGTTTTACCCGGCACATAATAGACAGATTTGTCTAGAAATCAGTCGAGAGAAGAACAGAGTCAGCATCCAGGGATTTATAAACTAAAATAGGAACAATAAAAACAGTAACATCTCCCAACTGTATAAAGTCTTACAGGAGATGAAGTCACATGAGGACGACAACAACTGGCATGAACAATTCTGGAATAAGATCGGATAAAAATGTTTCATTCAAAGAAGTCATTGAAACCATCAGGAACAAAATGGGAAATAGAAAGTAGAAAAGGGAAGGAGCTAAATGTCTTTAGATGCAAGTGATGAAAATCATTTAACCTGTTAAGCCCTGAGCCTGTTTTTCAGGTCTCAGGCTCGAAAATGACATTCCCAGAACAAATGACCATATCTTCCCTTCTAAAAGGGTTAAATTAATAATCTTTATTCTCAAAGTAATGATACACCTGTGAGTTGGATGTAGAAAAGTCAGAATCAATATAGATGTTTTTTATTTTAAAGAAAATTCAGATTTTACATAGTAAAAAACTGTAAATTATAGTGTCCGTCCAAAAATTATTTTTTACTTATAGTGAAAACTACCCTTGGATGATGGGTTAGTAGACTAAAAGCTTTAGGAATCCAAAGTACAACATATAATAAGTACCCTGTATCAAGATTGATGCAAAACAAGTGAAATTTGACGTTTTTAGAGAGATTTAGCCAAAAACCCCCACTTCTGGGGTCATTTGGGTGGATTTGACCTATCTCTGGCCCCCCTTGCTCGATTTTGATGAATGAAATCTCTTTATAACCGCTAGAGCCAATGGAATCGAGGGAAAGTTATATACACACCAAAACGTTAACAAATAAGGAGTGAGAGTGACGCGTTACCAAAACCGGAAGCTGCATACACTCTGGTGGCTACCATTAGCAGCTAACTTTTCCGCTCCGATTTTTACATAAAAAATGGAATTATGGATTATAAATAATTTTTTAAAAGGCACAGGTACATTATCAACCTATGGATCAACAGTTGTAGCATTTCTTTTTCGTTTTAATGCCATTGAACACGTCTTTTGACCTAATTGACAGCTACGGTGAGACGATCTGCCGTAAAAGCTCCGTAAAGGTACGTGTTGTGATGTCTGTGTTTGCTTCCCCTGTCGCAAGTTCGGATCGCTCAGTGATGATACTATACCTAAATAATCAGTGGAGTCTCAGCTTTAATCGGCTATATTGCATGTGCAGCTACGATAAGTAATAAGGGTATTTTTATCTTGAATTGTGTGCTGCAGTGCGTTAGAATATTTTCGCTCAGGGGTCATTTAGACGCTTCTTATGAGACTTGTGTTTTGTTTTGGTAAAAATGGTTCATATCTTCAGTTAGCTGAGATTCTTCCCGTTAATCTGGTGCTACACATTAATAGTTTCATAAATGTTAAGAAGCCCTGAGACATTATCTCGAAAACAAAACGGTGGGAGGGGTCCAATGGGGGGACCGCCGTGCTTAAAGTATTAAAAAACAAATGTTGGGTGAAAAGTCGCCCATTAGTTCCACAGTGGATATTGTTGCTAAATGCGCTAAAAGTCAAGTTATTTTCCCGTTAATTTGAGCTTCTTGTGCAGAAACCTTGGCAAACTTTTACCGTGGATCAAAAACATGACTGTATTTCGTACTAGTGTTCTCTAAAGAGTGTATAAGTTATTCATTATTATTCCCTTTGAGACTTGTTGTGTAAGATTTCGACAGATTTTCCACAAACACTGTTTTGTTTCAAGATAAAACTGGTCTTGAATCAATTAGAGGTTTTTCCTTCCCACGCTCACTATTTTATTTTCTCCTCAAAATCACGTTCCCACAGATCTAAACTGCATTCTCGATTACGCTTAGATAGACACGTATTTTCTCCCACATTTGTTTTGGACGTGACTCGAATACGTTTATCTTCTACATATCTTTGCCATTTATTATCTTGCTTTCCTAAAATGCACCCGACCACGCACAGGGCTGCTTATTCATTCGAACAATCCTGCTGGTCTTTATTATTATTATTATTATTATTATTAGGATACTATACGTCAGGAGTAGCCAACACGGTGCCCGCGGGCACTTGGTCGCCCGCAGGGGCAACGTGAGTCGCCCGCGGGGCATGTTCTAAAAATAGCTCGCCAAGCAAATCCAAAATGTATAAAATACACAAAACAAAAAAGGAAATGTAATTAAAAGAATCTACCCTATGCATAAACGAAACCTAAATCATAGCGAACTCTATCTACTTACTACAACTCTATATCTATCTAACACCCCTCCTCCCCCCACCCCCACAATGAATATCGACCAATCACGTTCTTGCTTGATTTGCGTTGCAGTCGGGAAGAAAAGCAATGTGGCACCTCCCCGCTGATTTTCCTTCTGGCAGAATCTACACCACACATCAGCCCCATTGAGCAGCCTATCATGCAGCCTATACAGCACATGAGGGGCAGAGCTTTACTCTGTGTGTTGCAACTTGCATATCTTTATTGCACTTGACGCACACATACGCATGGCGTAATTTCCACCTGGGACAGGGGGGAAATGTCCCCCGCTCTTTTCGAAATCCCGTTTGTGTCCCCCCACTTTACAAATATGTTTATTATTATTTTTTAACGCAAGCCGTCATCCACACGGAGGAGCACACAGCCTCTGTGAGCGAGCAAGAGAGAGAGAGAGAGAGAGCGAGCGAGACAGAGGGAGAGAGAGAGAGAGACAGAGGGAGAGAGAGAGAGACAGAGAGAGCGAGCGAGAGAGCTAGGGAGGGAGGGAGAGAGAGCTAGGGAGAGCACACCTTTATCTATAGATAAAGTAAGAAATCATTCCAATGTGTATAGGACAGTAAAAAAAACAAAAAACAGTTTGAAAGGGGATTGATTAGTAAAATCAGCATAAATAAAAAGAAAACATGCTAACTAGGAAACATCAGATAAGAATAAACCAGTTTAAATGATTTGTTATTGGTTGTGATCATATTCTAAAGAGGTTTGGATTATTGAAAAGTATACAGCTCTCTTTCATCTGAGTGTTGAGAGCTGTATCCATACATTCATGTTGTGCTCAAAGTGCTCCAGATTGATGCATTTCACTTCAACATTTAAAAATAATCTTCCCGGGGGTGCATGCCCCCCGACCCTAGAGGAGGTGAGGACCCCCCTAGAGGAGGTGAGGACCCCCCTGGAGGAGGTGAGGCCCGTCCACCCCCAAATAAAGCAGGTTAAAATAATTAGATTGCATACATGTTCTTTTAGAAAACACTGAAAACGGGTCCCACAGACCCAAACAGCACACAAAGGTTAAAGGTCAGCATATCATAATGTTAAAATGTGCTAAATATATACACTGCAAAAAACAAAAAAAAGAGGAGTAAAAGTAGCCCCCGACTTGTTTTATTTTTTGAAAGTAGCCCTCACCCTAAAAAAGGTTGGTGACCCCTGCTATACGTCTATACAAAGAGAAAATAATGTTACGACCCCTTACGTTTTCTGGCCACAGTAGTTGCTTTAATGTCACACCTGGAAGTAAGCATTCTCCTTACTGTCGACTGATTTGACAGTGATATCTGCACTACTCATCAACTCAAAAACACCAGATTATCCTTGTTCATTACACAACATTGATTGGTTTAAATTGTGTACAATGCTTTTGTGTTTTACCCCTTCGATTCAGAGAAACAAATAGTTTTTTCGGAGGCAAATATATGTAGAAAATAAACGTATTTGAGTCAAGTCTAAAACAAACGACGACGCTGAAGTTGGCTTCCGATTCAGAGCTTCCGATTTCGGCAGTTAAGGGGAAAGTTAAGGGACATTTAATTTACAGCGCTGAGCGAACAATCCTCCGTGTTTGAACCTCTTAAATCGCTGCATAGCCGATTTATTTGGACTGGATTATCCCAGAGAGTCTAAACATTCTTTATAACACAGTTTGAGATTTGTGAAACCTTTATTCTATATGTGAAAATACAAAAAAGGAAGATTTCAGTGCTTTTTTCGCATCCTGACCAGGGGCCTCATTTATAACGCCTTGCGTAGGATTCACGTGGGAAGGTTGCTTACGTAGTACAAAGCAAAAAAATAGGTACAGAAATTTTTCGATTCACAAAACATTGCGTACCGGCGAGGGAAGTGCGTACGGCACTCCCTACGCCTGTTTCCCTTTATAAATCACAATCGACTCGTAACGCCCATATTTGCCTATACATAGTCAAAGAAACGCCCATTCATTCATTCATTCTGACTGACTGCATGAAGAAGATCGCAGGAAATGACGACCGAACAGCTAAAAAAGACATCTCACACCGTGTCAGATTTTGGTTATTTTGGGGAGG